TCGGCGAATGGAATCATTGTTCCATCCATAAGTGTAGAAAATGACACTAAATGTAAAAATGTTTGATTTATTTACCAGTTTTCTTTAAATGGTCATTACTAGCATATCATTTGGCTGATTTTATTCAATCTTACAACACGAAGTAAAAGTTTGTTATTGTACAAATTTATCATTGTCTTATCTTTAAAACCATCGTATGAGCTACAACCAAAAAGTGTTATTAATACATTTCATGTACAAAATAAGGTTCTGCTGTTTTAAAATAAAGTGTGTACTATTCAGCTTTTTCTCGAATTGCTTAAACTGCCATGCCGTTTTGGGGTACATGTGTTTTAAGGCCTATGGCAAACGGCTTATTAACATCTGTAGCGCGTATATACGTGTTGTAACTAAATATACACATGAGCGTTAATTAAGCATCACCTGAAACTAAGGGCTATTGTAAACCTTTTAATTCAAACAGGCGATCATACTAGAATGAACGAATGCACATGTTAAGCACGTGCTTCACCCAACATATAAAACGCAGTGGGTCGCAGGTTCATATTCTGCGAACGCGCCTAGCACATTGGGGTATATATTGCAGTATGTGCACTCTGAACTGATATAAAAGATGGCAGTACAAAACATCAACTTTTCTTGACAAGGCAAGACTTTCGGTAAATGGAAAGTTATTGGCATGGATGACGCCCCATGCCATGTCAGCATCGGTGCTAAGGTTAACATTAACGGTTGTTAGCTGACTTGTAAGGAAGCACGTGGTCACCGGTGAACTGAAGGATCGTTCAAGACCTGAAAGATCGAGAAGGCCAATGACCTTGATGTTGATTCGACGCAATCCCATGCCTCATGCCGAGGAATTGCGCCGGAAAAGGAAATTGGCTGGTCAGGGGTATGTCGTCCGATTAGACTCGAGCCGTCATCGCCCATTTGGAGAACAACGCCATCGAAACATTACCCTGACGCACAAAGAGCCCCGATATGAACCCCATCAAGCATCTCAGAGACTATCTTGAACGACAAAATAGAGCTGGAGGTCCTCCTGTACAAAATCTGCAGGATTGGCGCATACACTCCATGAAAAATGGCAAAGCATTTCGATGCTTAGACTTCGAGGCATGATTGTCAGTATGAGGAGGAGACTGACAGATGTTATCCGTGCGAGGGGTGGCAACACCAGGTACAGATGCGGTCGCCAGTGGTGGTTCATACAACCATAGTAAACAATTATAGTATTTGAGAACTGTTTGACAATTAGATTGGTGACGTAGTCATGGTGATCATACTTTCCGGCATTGTCCAGAAAATTCAGTTTTGTTTTTGTTTTAATCAAAGTAAAATATTTCTGTTAACATTTAAATACGCGGGATCTTGTTTGTTTTTCAACGTGTAGTGTTTCCGTACTTATTTAGATAAAATGTGGGTGGTGCTTCATATAATCCTTTTGTGTACATGACCATATCCACACAAGTTTGTAACTGTTTGTTTCCAAATCGTTTTCCAGTGGCATCATTTTATAACAACTACAAGACAGCATGCTTAATACCATAAACCAGTCTTTCATAATCTATAAATATCTATATAGACAGATTGAAACCCTTGCACATTAATCATATACATTTATTATATATCTGAATTTATACTTTATTAACTAGATTTTTCACCCCCAAAATGTTTACATTCCCATACATATACTTTTCCAGTAAAATCCTAATGTTCTAGCCTCGACAAATCTGATAAAAATAAATGAATTGGACCTACTTTTGAAAATCAAATACTTTAATCCAATCATGTGTAATATTGTATCCCGGGCTGTTTAGTTGGGCTATCTGTCTCCTCAAACACAGAAGTTCCTCAGCGGGTCCACAACACTTTATTCGGCGTCAAATATACAATTAACTTCTGAGAGTTTCTAGGACTTCCGTCCTGTCCCACAACGAAGCACATGTGATACATGTTTGTTCAAAATTGCCTCTGTTCACCCAGCAGAAAATGGATACCCAGTTGGATAAAGTTATGTGACTAACCTTCTAGCTCCTAACAGGCCCTATCCGGGGTAATAATAATCAGGGTGTTAGTGCTTTGAGCATGCTTTGTTGCGTGGAGATTAGCGCATTATAAGACTTCTCATTATTATTTTACAGATTTAAGATGAAAATGCAGCAGAGAGGGTTCGGGTGGTTATTATTATTATCATTAATTACATGATAGTGCAGCAACGGAGAGATGCATCTCAGAGGGGATCATCAGTCCACCTGCCAGCCGTTGTATGAGGTGCCAGTCCCGTTGAAAATCAGAATTCTTCATATACTCTCCCAAAAAGGAAACGCATATAGGAATTTCAACTGTATTTTTATGTTTATTTTGAAACATCTTGTAGGCTTTATGAGTCAATGAAATATAGCGAAATTGCACACTGGGAATGCAGACTTATCCGTCTTTGGCACCAACTCGAGGAAAGTCAGTTTGAGTGTCACATGGAAACGTGTGGTGGCGCTGAAGTCAATACCTCGTGTGACCACGGTGGACATCCAGGGCATCCCACAGATGTTCGATCGGGTTTAAGTCCGGTGATCTTGAAGGCCAGGGGAGCACATTGATGTTGTGGTTCTGGAGGAAGTCTCTAGTGTGACGTGCTGTGTGGGGCCTGGCATTGTCCTGTTGAAACAACTCCCTCTGGCGATCAGTGATTGGAAGGAGGTGTGGGCGTAGGATTTCGTCACAGTACCGTTGAGCTGTCAGGTTGCCCTGGATCATCACCAAATCACTTCTCCTACGGCAGGTGATCGCTCCCCACATCATAACACTGTCCCGGTCCGAATCTGTCCACCTGGGGAACGCAAGCGTCGGCGAAACGTTCACGTCGACGTCTGTACACCCGCATTCTTCCATCGCGTCGTTCCAATAGAAATCGTGATTCATCACTGAACCAGATTCTACGCCAATTCGGTAGGTTCCAGGCCTGAACGTTGGTGCACCATTGAACTCGATGTCGACGATGTTGTTGTCGAAACACAGGGCCAAAATAAGGTCTTCTGGCACGTAAACCAGCCTCTCTCAACCTGTTCCTGACGGTCTGTGCAGAAAGCCTCCTCAATCCGGGTATTTGTCGAGCGGTACTGGTCGCCGTAGCTGTTCGATGACGTAGGTGATGTACCCGGATGTAGCGATCCTGCGCCGCAGTGGTCGCTCGAGGTCGCCCACTACGAAGGGGATCTGCTACCGCATTCTGCCGGCGATATCTCTCCCAGAGCCGTGAAATGGTGCTTTGGTGAACATTATGCGTCGGACAACTGCACGTTGAGACTGGCCAGCTTCAAGAAAACCAATGGCGATATGACGGTTGGCTTCACTTAGACGTGGCATTTTTGCGTTCGTCAACAATATTCGAAATACAGTGAATAATCGACATAGACAGCGATCAACCTTTTTATACCCATCATTGAGACTATCTGATCCCCAACTTTCACGTGCATTGCATGTGAATTGTGTATTCTGTGACACTACACGCCGAAATTGAAAATCATGCTGTTAAATACGGGTATTTTACGGATGGTGCGTTTTGTTGTGATGTTTCAAAACATAAACACCATAGGACTCATAAACAGAGCAAAACCTTTTGTAAAATGAATCACGTTTTAATTCATTGCTACATGAAATTGCTATTTTCATGATGCGTTTCATTTTTGGGAGAGTATATATAAGTGATCTATCGCGTATCACGTGGATATCACGTATAACACTATCAGATTATATTTTCGGGGCTTTTCATCTGACAGATCACCATACATATTTTTGAAAAAATAAGTTAATCTACCATATCTCCAGGATTGTATTGATGACGTGTCAGTAGGGTTTCTACACGAATCACGTGACTCTGGGCTATGTCTCTCAAACTGTCTCTTCTTTCACGTAACACTGATGCTCACATTTGTTTCTTCTATCTACATAGAAATCAGAAAGTTATCAAGTTTTGATTCTCTGTGTAAAAACGAATGCTTAAGTTGATAAAGATACATATCATGGTTATTTTTCTGTCAATGAAATTCCGAACACCAAAAACAATCCAACATTAAAAAATATCAACTTTGACAAGCTAACGATATTCCTAATAGCTTTCTATGTGTAATTCTTGACATTTGTATTTATCTCCATCCGTATACATAGAATCATCAAACATAATCAACAATTACATTGTCTGAGATTTCAGTGGTAGTGTAATACTAGTGTATATATATAAAGATGGAAAATGGTCTGACACCTCTGCGACCATCCTCTGTACCTTGAGGGATCACATTTCTAGATATACAGCATAGAAAACGATTTAACCCTAAATAACTTAATATAATTAAACATGTGAAAAGCACACAATCCTTAATCTTAAGTGCTAAACCGGGTTAATAAAATCAACCCAATTATACATGTATTAGCTTCATCTAGTGGAATATGGTCACCATCCACGAATTAAAGCTGCTTCTCGATCAGTTCTCAGTCGTGTTTAGGGGTTTGTCGGTTATTTTGTTCACATTATGGTGGCTGTTTGCATTTGTATCATCTAAGGTAAGTTAACTGTAAATTCGGAGCTCTGTCATCAATGAAACACAATATTCCTGTTTACAAATTTTGAACTTCAGGTAACATGTGTGTTTTCTGAACTAGTCCATCTCTAAACTCATCGAATGTGATTCTTTTTGACTTTACACCCTATGCAAGAGAACAGCACGGAAGAAACTAGTCTATCAGAACCTGAAACAAATATTATTCAAGAAAGCCCATGCAAGTCTAGAGTATTTGGCAAATCTGAATTACACAAGAACTGAAAATAAAGGAAGTATATCGGGTCTTTTTCGTTATATTCAATTACTACAATTTATTAACCGTTTTACCGTAAAATATGTTAATTTGAAAGACGAGAAGATGTATATTCGTCTTTGGTCTGAGGTTTAACCAAGATTTTCGTTTAGCGGTTGGTAAGTTACAGAGTTATCTTCTCATGATTGTCGCTGCCAGGAGGAGGGAGGTATGTCGGATGAAAACACAAACACGGAAGAGAGGGAGTTGAAAGACAATGACCAAGAAGGAAAGGTGACAGATAAAGCTGATGAACAAGTGGAACATGCTCCCCACGACGTTGGGCTCATTCATCAAGACAGTCAGTCAGCAGGAACTGCCAATGCAGCCCAGCAAAAGATGAAAAGTACATCACTTCACAGCTGATTACTAGACAGAGTTATCGATTTATTCAGCATATCGATCCAACACTGGTCTCTAAGGGACCGTTCGTAATTTATGGGTGGGTGGGGGATGATGATTTTTATGGAGAACCATTTACAATGTGAATGCCCCCAACCCCCAACCCCATGTCATGTACAATATTAATGACACTCTCCACCCCCCCCATAATTTCCAAATATATATAATACGTACAAAATTGATGACCCCCTGTTTTCCCAGAACAAAATGGGTGTTTCCCCGCTCCCAGAGATTGTCATCACTCCCCCTTGCCAAGAGTTATGAACTGTCCCTAAGTTCCACCAACAATATATAATATATAGTTTTTCTTCAATACATGCATGTCTTCATCATGAATGTGCTGTTGACACCAATATGATAATATGATAGTGTTGGGAACATAGGCCAACGAGAATGCATCTTCATATCTACATATATAGTTTAATTGTCTGTAGCTAGTCTAGGGATTGACTACATATCTCTGTGTGTACAGTAAAAAGAAAAACTAGTTAGATATCTGTAACTTGTCACATGCGCCATAATAGTTTTGAGCATATGGTAAATAATAATTTATCATTGCCAAAGAATACATGAGTGAATTAATTATGAGGTTAATTGTGGGCTTGTAGTAGATGATGATGTTAAGTGCAGTCCCAATAGTTGCACTTTACTCCTTCATGATCAATCCTGTATCAATAACGCCCCATTCAGTGTTAAGTGCCCCTTTTGATTTGAATGTCCTTTCATGATTTGTATTTGTGGCTGCTCTGTAGAAGTCAAAAACATTTTTACCAATGAGTTAGGTATCTTTTTATCAAGGAATTTACAAGCAGTGCATAAAGGCAGACAATTGTGCTGATCACTACTAGGGCTGTGTATTGGTAAATAAATTGTACTGCAATATGTGATGCGTATAGCGATATGTTGGGAACTTAAGTCACAATAAGTGTTTGACAGCGAGTGACTCAAATTGTACATGTCAATCCTATTTTCTAAAATAAGAGTCCCTAGGGTAGTGCGTGGCCAAATATGCAGAAAATTACATATACATATGGAGGAATAAAGATGAGATGAGATGAAATTGGGTTTAACGTCATGCTTGAGAATATTTCGCTCCTATGACAATGTGCCTGTGTGTGTATGTGTAGGTGCGGCTGCTTGTACTAGTCCAGACTGAAGCTGGTTTTATAGTGCTAGCTCACTGAGAGTGAGATACCATGCCGCAGTGAAGCATGAATACCCCACTCAGACACATTATACTGACTCCAAGCCGACCAGTCCTTGTTGTACCCATTAATGCTGAGCGCCAGGCAGGGACCAACAAGTACCATATTTGAACGTCTTTTGGTTTGATGCGGTCGGGGATCGAACCTGCGACCTTCCGCTCTCCGGGCATACGCTCTAACCACTACACCGCGGAGGCGGGAGAGGAATAAAGACACAGACAGAGACTAGGACTCACATTTCCACACACATTCTTTCAATTTCTGTACTGCACTGTAGAAGGGTTGAAAGGTTAACTTTCAAGTGTCAGTAAGGATATTGCGTATGTAATAGTGTTGGGAATTGGTTAAAATCTCATAATTGATGGTTGCTTCATTACCACCGATCAATTATAAAAAAATAATTGGTTAGCGTCATTTATGAAATTTGTTAATGCACAAAAAAATAAGGAAAACAACATACTTATTTTGGTTGTTGTTTTATACGAGCTTGTAGTGCTTATGAAATTTAACAGATAAAACCAACCTTGGGAAAAATATTGTTGATGAACACAAGACTTAGCGTTCCAGAATTGTTTGTTTTTGATTATTAGAAAACATGATCTATTGCTTGATCGTTTAGCAACTGCGACCAATCTTCAATTTTTTCAATTAATCGAACCACCACTACTATATAACATAAATTTTATTGTGATTCAATACTGTGTGTTGATGTAAGATTTTGTTGTGTGTGTAGTTGATGTTCTGCTGAAACCAGCCGGGGATGCTCCCATCATGAAGAAGAAGAAGTGGGCTGTTGACAGAACCAAGAGAGTCAGCTGGGTGTGCGAATTCATCAGGAAGTACATCAAGCTGGATATATCAGAGTCACTGGTAAGTGGTTTTAAAACTAGGCAGTTTAATGTTATGATGGGGGACTAGCCCAGTGGTTACAGCATTCACTCGTCACACTGAAGGCCCGGGTTCGATTCCCCAATGGTGTGAAGCCCATTTCTGGTGTCTCCCATCGGGATATTGCTGGAATATTGCTAAAAGCGGCATAAAACCCAACTCACTCACTGTTTTAATAATACTAGTGCCTCTTAAATAGTGCTGAACTCCATGCTGCACAGGTGTGCTGTAAGTGCATACAACACGATGAACATTATTATCCCAGATAACCCAAGCTGTCTGTGAGGTGCTAGAAAGTAAATAGTCACATGACTTAGCCCATCGGGTACCCATTTTCTGCTGGGTGAACAGAGGCAATTTTGAACTTACTTGCCTAAGGTGAGACGTCATGTGTTTCGTTATGGGGCAGGACTGAAGTCCTAGAAACTCTCAGGAGTCAAACTGCCAAACACAGTCACCCACCCAAGGACTCTCTGTGACCAACGTTGCTTAACTTCAACTGATATATGACCTGGGCCCTATGCAGAAGACCATAGTGAGAAACCTAAGAGTACATCAAGTTTTGTGCTTAACACTGACAGGGATTGGGATAGAGAATTTTGACAATGGGCCATTTTCAGGATTATTAGCCATTTTCTGATTTTAGAATGGGCTACTGCCCTTGTAATAAATTTCAATTTTAGTAAATTGTGCAAAATGCCTCATGGTCCCTACCTTTCCCAATCCCTGCACTAATATTAATAACTGTTTGCTACTCATACAAAATCCCAGGAATATTCAGAATGTTGTGAAAAGAACTGGCAACATTTACTAAATAATCAGAAATCTTGTGAGTATCCATTGATGAAGTTAGTATCCAATAATCCATTCATTTAGAGCAGTTATATTTGTGCGGCGAAGTGACATACTTTCTGTGTATTGTGTTTGTAAACAGCGATTGTTAGACATTCACTGGTTGTGTGTAAATATGTCTATCATAATGTGTCACAATCATAATGATATTACCAAATGAGAGTCCAAGTTTAACTATTGCTGAACTGACTTGGAAATCAGCATGACTTTGACTGTTTAAGATTTTGACTTATTATGTTCTTATTAAAGTTTATCAAGAGGTGTCGATTGTACACTTTGCTTTAGTATTCTGTCTGCTGTCCAGATTTACTCTGTGTTTATTAATAAAACAATCAACACTAATAGCTTAACAGACTACTTATTAAATCTTAAGCTATATGATAAATGTAAATAGATGACTCAGAATCCATTCAGATGGAATCCACTGTAGTGTATTTATTACCATAATGAAGTATACCCTTGTTATCATGGTTATTTTAACTGTTTCTCTGCCTAACAATAAAGCTGAACCCCTTGCTTGTTGTACCCGTGAATGTCCGGGTCAGAATATTGACAGTAGCCCATGCTTGTCGTAAGAGCCGACTATCGTGATCGGGTGGTCAGACTCACTGACTTGGTTGACACATGTCATCGGTTTTCAATTGTGCAGATCGATGCTCATGCTGTTGATCACTGGATTATTTACAGACCACCGCCATATAGCTGGAATATTGCTGAGTAAATCTAAACTCACTTACCCCTTGCTTGTTGATTAAATAATGGGCTTCAGAAGGGGAGATAATAAGAATTGCCTCCCCTGAACTAAGGGGAGTTGATTAAAGTTGCCCCAACCTGATGAAAATCATTCTTGTCCCTGACATTACTTGATGTATAACATTATAATGTATCATCTGTTATTTCTGTTTCAGTTTCTGTATGTTAATCAGTCTTTCGCTCCATCGCCTGACACAGACGTAGGAGTTCTCTTTGATGTAAGTATTCCTGAGCATGTGTGTGGAATGGTCCCTGAGGCATGACAGAAACTGGTCCATGTGACTGCTGTTTACTTAGAGTGAGTTATTTTAGCAATATTACAGCAATATCACAGTGGAATAGGCTTCACATTGTACCCATGTGGGGGTTTGAACCCGGGTCTTCGGCGTGATTATTAAATCTTTTGGTTCAAGACAGCTCTGGTAATTCCTTGAACTGCCTTGTTGTGAGGTTGGAGAAACACCACATTTTACTGAGACGATCAATGTTATCAAAGTGCTCACTACCACCAGATAGAGATCTGAGGATATCATCCCACTGCAGATCACGTCAGAACACCATGTTAGCTGACCAGTCAAAATGTTACCTCAAGGCTCCCTTGCTTCAATGGGATGAACATCTGAAATGGAACAGACGTCCAACAGACATAAGAATTAGTGCTGTAAAATCTCAGACATCTGTTATTATTGATATGACAGAGTTTTTGTGGTCATTGTTTCAATTCTTAATCCAGGACAAACAAAATATTGTTTGTAGTTCAGGCAGGAATGGCACACTCCGGCGCAGTGATGACTTAGCATAGCATCACTGCCACAGGCTAATTTGCATATCACGAGACCGGACTTTTCTCTTGTTTGTAAACACACACATATCGCTACAGAAATCGAACTAGTGTTACACATTTTAGGATATTTTCACAGTGAAACTAAACCATTCTAACAATGATGTTTAATTAGATGTGTAGACTCATAAAAAAATACGAGAGATAAAAAATATGTACATTATATTGAATGGACGGTGTAAGATGTGAGGAATCGTCACATCTTTCTGGGCTGTGGCAGAGGTACTATGCTGGCTGGCCGCATTGAACTCTGGGTCGGAGAGTGGCAGGAATGGAAGTTGTCAGTTTCAAACTAGTGCTGCATGCACTAATGTTGATGTCATGTTAGCTGTTTCATTGGTCAGTCAAAAACCATGACATAACATAGTCAGTAATTCTCTATCTAGAATATTTGAGTCACGTATGATGTTCAGAAATTAAACATTTGAAAATTGGTGGTGGTATTTTTTTGCAGGGCCAAGAGAAACATTTGAAAATTACTAAAGACATTACATTGAAGTTGATGTTTTGCATTGGCAGAGCCAAGAGGGGGTTCACAACACACACACACACACACACACACACACACACACACACACACACACACACACACACACACACACACACACACACACACACACACTACCTACCTCTGAAAATAGTGGTTACATCAACCCATGTCCCCCATGTGACCAGCGAACAACTTATAATGTGTCAATCCTTACTTTTGGAACATATCTGTGGATGAGGTTGTGTGGTTTTACAAGTGTATATCCTCATTCTTTACTCATTTTGTGGGGACTCCCAGTACCCAGTAACAATACAGCAATACAGTATTACACCACGATACAAGGCTCATGATACAATGCATGCATCAGTTTACTCCTGTATCCTAATGCATACAATTTATTACAAGTTATATTAATGTAAATGTGTGAATAATAATAGAAACTGTTTAAGATCCAGTTTATACAGATTTTGCTTGTATTTGCTCAGTGCCTGTGAATAGCAGAATGTGCACAGTGCCCCAAGGTTATATCCATCTAGCCCACGATAACCTATTTCACTCTCTGAAATTATAAAATAAATGATTAAGGGTTGTGATTCACCTGGAAAATTGTTCACCTGAGCGAGAGGCCAGACTCAGTGATTCCCTTCATTGCTTGTCATTGTCAATGGTGATGAAGACTGTTCCTCATAATATCGATCACTGGATTGTCTGGTCCAGATGCGACTGTTTATAGGATGCCATGATATTGTTTGTGCAGTGTTACATTAACAAGCAAAAGAAGACATATTTCACTCTCTCTGTGTCTAGAAAAAGGTACAAAGTAAACCACTTCTAACGATGATAGCCCAGAATTAAAATAATGAAAACCATAAATTTTAGTATATTTCTATAAAATTCTCTCATTTTTAAGCTCAGTAATAACTTCAAACAACATTTGTGCCTCCCCCAAATTGACTGGGGTATGTAAGTCATCACTAACAGTCTGCATAACATCTATAGCTGTGATTGAAAAGGAGTGAGTTTGGTTTTACGCCGCTTTTAGCAATATTCCAGCTATATCACACAGTGTATAAAATATAGCCCATCCCACCATCGATGACGGTCTATTTATGTGAAGGACGGTGTCTTAAATAAGTAAGGCCCGTCCTTTGGTTGGGGGAAATATTCGAAAAAATTAACTTAACCGTGGTTTGAATGAAGAGTTTTAGTTTTTGGGACTGGCTGTGTTTGTTCAGGACAGGTCACTCTTTTGGACAGCCAGTCCTTGGTCAGGCCACATTTCGAAACTATTTATACACTGAAATACACCAGAAATTGGTTTCACACATTGTACCCATGTGGGGAATTGAAGCTTGGTTTTCGGCGTGATGAGCGAACGCATTAACCGCTAGGCTACCTCGCGGCCCCGATTGAACAGGAAAGCTCAGTCAGAACGTACATGTAAATCTTTGAGGTATTGTGACTTCAAATACCAGCTGACAGTGAATTTTTCAAATACATGATTGACAAAAATTTGAAAGTTTTTAATCAACCAAATTATTGTTATAGTTATTTGCCAAGATGTGGTTAAAGCATTTGCTTGCCACGCGGAAGACCTGGGTTTAATGCCCCACATGGGTACAACATGTGAAGCCCATTCCTTGTGTCCCCCACTGTAATATTGCTGGAATATTGCTAAAAGTGGCATAAAACCAAACTTGCCCACTCACTCACTCATGTGCATGGCAATGAGTTCTGTTAACCACATGGTTTTGTCTCACCTTTCATAAACGTTTCCTTCTGTTCAGTGTTTTGGAAGTGATGGGAAGCTGGTTCTACACTACTGTCGGACCCAGGCTTGGGGCTGAGGGAGCATGATGCCCCTTGGAATGGTCACTGCCGCTGGAAGGTGTGTGTCCACCCTGTGAAGATGATCTCCAGGAATCAGAGGAATGGAAGTCGAATGTGTTGTGTGCCAGTGTGTTGTTTTTTGCATATTATGACTCACTTTTATGTTTGAATGGCTAAAATATGAATAAATTATGTCAAATCTTACAGTTTCTAAGTGATTTTGCTTGTTAAATGAACAAGTTCCAATGATGGGATGGGCATAAACACGTCTTATCCAAGCATTACTGCACTTCTTAAAGTTTTGCTTCTGTAGCTTTCAATGCTTACGTCATTCAGGTTGAAATATTTATGACACTCAATAATATACTCATAAATGTAATCAGTATTCGTGTCACACATTTATCTATCAAGTCTATATAATGGGCTGTTTAACTGGTGTATTGATGTTGGGATATTTTGTTTAAATTAATGGCAATTTATGTTCTGTCATTCAATATTTGGGGACCTATATGCTTGCCATTTCTCTGAAAGTTAGACTGACATTCTCTGGACAAAAATCTTTGACTATTTGACAGAATACATTTTATTCAATTCTTCATTATATTCTTGTCCCTCAGGTTTCGTTTCATGTACATTTTGTACATTCAGTGCTTCAACGATAGTCTTGTGTTAAAGTGAGTTTAGTTTTACGCCACACTCAGCAATATTCCAGCTATATGGTGGTGGTCTGTACATAATGGAGTCTAGACCAGACAATCCAGTGATGAACAGCATGAGCATTGATCTACGCAATTGGGATACAATCACATGTGTCAACCAAGTCAGCGAGCCTGATCACCCGATCCCATTAGTCGCCTCTTACAAGCATGGGTTACTGAGGACCAATTCTAACCCGGATCTTCACAGGTCAGTCAGTCTTAAAGATTGGCATGATGGGGGAGGTGTAATGTCACAGTCAACATTATCTTCTGTGTGTTTTATGTGTATGGCTGCTTGTACTAGTGTGATTTTGTAGTGTCAGCCCATTAAGCAGTGATGTTTAAGCTAAGCATACATGTAGATACCCCACCCCACACAGTCTACTGACATCCAAGTTACCAGTCCTGTTTCTTTACACCCTGAGTGCCAAGTGTAATCTTTTTATGTCTATTGGTTAATGCTGCCTTGGGATCGAACAACATACACTACCTCTGTCAGACACACAATCCTCTAGACCACAGAGGTCATCGTTTAGCTGGAAATACATCTTATAGATGCACACTTATGGCTGTAATTTGAGCCTCCTTCTATATTTGACATAGATGGCTCCAAGAACTTGGTTGGTTGGTTAACGTGGCACTCAGCTATACTCCAGCTATATGGCGGTGGTCTGTGAATAATTGAGTCTGGACCAGACAATCAAGTGATCAACAGCATCAGTATTGATCTACACAGTTGGTATACGGTGACAGGCTCCCAAAAGTAAAAGAACAGTAAGAAATTCATTAAAATTGCCAGTGAGTAGCCTAAAGAACTTGTGACAAAGATGCTGATAGACCTTATAGGCTTTCAGAAAACTCATTTAAAGCTTTTCTAACGAACATGTGACCTGTTGAAATGACAGTTTATTGGCATTGTACTTGTTCCTAGAGGCAAGGTGTCCTCGTACAAATGATACTTTTACCAAAATATTATGTTGGAATGTTAATTTTACCTCATTTTAAACTAAACAAGGCCATTACATCAGGCCTTTTCCGGCCAGGAATTTAAATACCCTTGTCATTTAACCCAGTGGTTACTGCATTTGCTCTGAAATAAGAAGTTTTGGGTTTTCTTGAGAATCCTTCGTTTAAAATATTCTTGATCTGGATGAGTATATGATTCCATAGAATTTCTGCTGTAGAATGGGTTGATGAAGCTGATATCTTACCATTCATCTCACAGGCGACAAAAGATTATATCCTTTAATAACAAACATTGTTAACATGTTAATAAGATCAGTAGATAGCCTAATAGTTAAAGCGTTGGCTCGTCACGCCGAAGACCCGGGTTGGAATCCCCACATGGGCACAATGTGTGAAGCCCATTTCTGGTGTCCCCTGCCGTGATGTTGCTGGAATATTGCTAAAAGTGGCGTAAAACCAAACTCAGTCAGTCAGTCAGCTTTGAGATGGAAGATTGCAACACATTAGTCTGCATACTTATTGATGTCCCCCATAGCAAAATGTAGTTACACAGATTCTTCAGATTATCTGATACACACCTAAAACAGTTCAACAATCAGTAACTTTTACTTTTTTACTGAAGATCATGATTAGGTGCCCAGATAAAACTATTGGTGTTCCGATTAATTCAAATAATCGAAGATTGGTCGCAAAGACTAAACGACCAAGCAATCAATCATGTTTTCTCATAATCGAACACATACAATTTTGGAACACTTGTTTGCATTAACATTTTTCACAGGGTTGGTTTTGTCTGTTACATTTCATAAGCACTACAAGCTCGAGCTCGTTCCAAGTCGTGATTGAATTTATCTTCAAGACTCGAGGAAATTTATGTTCGTAACATACCGGTACTAGTCATCCTTTAAGGTGTGAAATTTGTAATGCATTTTGTGCAAATTTTCAAAAACAAGCCGAAAGAACATGTTTTATCTATATATTTTTTGTGCATTAACAAACATAACATTATTAAGAAGGAGAATTTGATCAATGACGCTAACCAATTATTTTCGATGATTATTGATTGGTTGTAATTAACCAATCATCAATTCTGAGATTTTAACCAATTCCCAACTTTAGATAAAACAGACTCATTGTTTGAGCAACAGTTCGCTGACTTGTTTGTCACATATCCATGCTGTTGATCCCTGGATTATCTGGTCCACACTCGATTATTTACAAACTGTCGCCATATAGCTGGAATAGTGGTGAGTGCGGCGTTAAACCTACAAAAATGACCTACCATCTTGACCTAAATCAAGCACCAAACAACTGACTGTAGGTGAAATGTGTATTTATTTCAAACAAGAGAGTATTAGTCTGTACAATGTTTGCTGATTGCAAAACCAACATGGCAGATGATATATACTACAGTTCTAACATGTTTACACAGAAAGTTGTCACTTTTATATATACAATATGTGTTGCTAACTTAGTCTGTATCTAGTTGGACGGACATGTAGTGTTTTTATATACACAGAAACAAAATACAGGTGGAAGTTCAATCAGACACATCACAAGTAGTTGCACTAGAATCACCTTTTAACAAATAGTATTTAAATAAACATGTTTCCATGTTGTAAATATACAGACATAAAACATTTGGAGATGACATCTCCTAAACATAAAGAAGTCATCCTATTTCTAAGTCTTTAAGGAAACAAAATAAATGATCTGTCGTAAGATTTTTTATGGACTCTATTATTCCAAAATCAAACAAAAGTAAGATCCAGCACATGCAAACAAATCGAAAGATCTTTGTTTCTTCTGTTTTGCAACTGTTACTCTTTAAACAGATAGGCAAGTAAATTTGTCTACATCAACTGGTACTTGGAATGTTTATATTTTGTAGCCAAAAGGGTTTTTGACTTACTGGAAACTACAGGATCTTCAAATGGTTTGTACATGAATCATGAAAATCTACTAATTTCTTAGTCTGTGTTGCAATTTTCTGACTTAGCTAAACTTACAAATCTTTAAAAAGTGAATTCCACTAGGTAAAATGTTATAATAGGTGGACATAGATGATTTGATATTTACGCTGAAAAAAAAATGGCAAAAGAATTTGTGACAAATTGTCAAGTTAATGATGAGCACTCCCGTTGTTCCAAGTTAACGGTGATCAGGGAATTTCCAAATTAGAATGGCTCCATCTGTTCCCACACTGACGATGTTCCGCTGGTTTGGACAGATGCGAGCTTTGGTGATAGATGCACTGTGTCCAACTCCGATGTGAGTTACCTCCCCTTCATCATACTTCCACAACTGAAACAAAATGAGGATAAATTGGCTACTTCTGACAATAAAGAGTCTTCATTAGGATTCTCATCATATGTGAAACCATTCATCCAACCAAAGCTGATAATGTGTAGAGATGGGCTGTCTTTTGGTTTGGGGAATTTTTTGCATTTCATGCCTAAATACAAACACTGATACTTGAAGATATTTGCTGACAATGCTCAGAGCCATGAACAGTTTTTTGACCACTGACCTTGATCATTTTCTCCTCTCCTCCAGAGACAAAGTATTTGCCATCAGGGGACATGTCAAGCGTGTAGATGGCTCCTGTCTTGGCTCCATCCAGCTCCCTGGTGCCGGAGCCATCAAGGGTCTCCCAGTAGGCAATCTTGCGGTCAGTCCCACTTGTCACGATGTGATGACCACCCAGACCATAGGACACACACTGGAACAATGTGTTGGCAAACACAATCTGTTTCCTGGCTTGATTTCTGAAAACATTTTCGCATTAACTTTTTAATGTTATCCCGTAATGTGAATTAGGTACTGATCATTTATCATAGGTGGGTCAGGGGAAGTCATCCAAGCATTTGGGGAGGGTGATTACTTTTTGTCCATTAGTGCATCAAGATTTTCTGAACATCCCTGGAATCAACCCCAAGCTTTTGTTGTGAGAAGTGAATTCTTTAACCACTAGGTTACCCCTACACTTGCCTTATCGCTGACAAGAATTCTGAGTCTAAACATTTTACATGACACCATATCAGTCAAATAGTATATGAAGTGTGTCATGACATGTCAACTTGATGTGGGAGGAAGGAAAACATTACCAATCATGACCAGCAGATTCTGGCAGCTAAAGGATGAAATTCTGCACTAAAAGAAAATTAAGTTTGATTAACCAAAACTCACACAAGGTCCCAGATAATGCATGTTCCATCTGTACTGGCCGAAGCACATTCCTTGTCATTGTTTCGGATCTTGATGGCAGACACCAGACCTTTGTGCTCCTTCATTGTGGCATCAAGAACCCCTCGGGACGATGTCTTTCCTCGAGAGTCATAACTCTCCTCCACTCTCCAGATCCTCACTTGACCTTCACCCCCACCGCTCACAATCTTTCTTCCATCAGATGTACAGGCTATAGCTGTGACACCTTTGTTGTGAGCGTCAGGGATACTAAACTTGTCAGTGATGTCTTTAGGGCCAAAACCATACACTCGTATTTTCCCATCTGCCCAGGCTGTGAACAAGATATATACCATACATGAATAATGTAGGAATTGAGACAGTTCTGGAGACATGAAATGAGGTGCTATAAAATGTGCATCAGTAGACTTCAGCAATCACTTACCACTGATGATAGCTTTGCCATCCCTTGTGATGTCAAGAGCATTGCACATCATGTTGGAGACAACATGACGTCTGATTTCCTTCCCAGTCTCACGGTGCCAGATTCTGATCTCCTCATCCTGGCAAGTCACAATCAGCTCGGAAGATCCGCTGAAAACACAGCAGACAACATGTACAATGATAGCTTCACAGATCATAGATATTTACTCAAATAGAGAGGGCAGTTTAACCTCTTAAAGGCACAATGTCACACATTTTCAACAATATTTTGGCCTATATTATATATATATTGGGGCATATGCACTGACTTTAGCTTCCTATTGATGCAATAAAAGCCTTATTATCCCTTACGACTTGCCTGAAATCGATAATTGAAACTTTGAGGCAAACAGCTTCCAAATAGAGAACACTTGCCATGTATGGAATGTAAACTATTGCTCCATACATTGAAAACTGTCGCATGCGGTGTTGTCGATGTTTGCCGAACTGGTCTGAATCACATGTTGTATCAAAGGATAATGTGTTAAGAGCGCTCCAAGGGACATAACTCTATGGGGTTCACTTGAAATAATGTTCAGCCGGGAGATGGCAAGAGAGTCCATTTAATGCAACGTTGCATTAATTCATTCAAACTTTTTAATTTAATATTGTAATCTAAATACATAATTCTTGGGGAATAAATTATATGGTAGCTTCCCTGAGGGCTGATAGTTAATATTATTGAGAGAAATGCATTATGTATTTTTAAAGAAATGTGATGTGACATTGTGCCTTTAAGTAAGCATTACATGAATTGTGGCACTTACTGTGGGAAGATGACATCATTGACAGGCTTGGAGTGGCATGTCTTCTTGAGGACACAACTGAACTCAGGATAGTTGAACTTGTAGATGTTTGAAATGCTACTTCCAACAAAAAACTGGAACATAATCAAGAAACTACATAAGAGTGTGCCATGTGAACCTGTATCCATATCCATATACTGATCAAGCTTAAGATTCATCTACTCATATAGCTAACTATGTGATCATTTCGCTTATGTAACAACATGCATGCAAATGATTGTGACTTCTTGTACAAGTCTGGACAGGTTTCAATTTGTTAGCTGGCAGAGATACCATGCTATCCAGATGAACATGGATATTCCACTCAGATACAGTGTACTGACGACAAGCCAACCACGTCTTGCTTTAGCTACTTAATGCTGAGCATCTGGCAGGGCAACAAGTACATCTGTTGACGCAGTTTGGCGTGACACAGCCAGACATCACCTCACCAACCTTCCACTCTATCCACTAGACCTTGGTTCAATGACGAGTGAATGATTTGGGATACATGCCTTTCAGTTCTCTGCATGACAGCCTGATGTGAAGGACATTTACGACTTTAGAGAAACTCACAAGCACACATCCAGAATAAGTCATTACTAGATCCCCTATATACAGATCCTGTTATGACTACGGGATGGAACTCTGCATTGCGAAATGTGGCAGTTTTGTCATAACCATGTGAGCCCAAACGTGTTACTGACCACTTAGCATCAATGTGCCCACTACTAACTATTAAAGTGTAACCACCAACACAGTACCTGGTGTCCAGATCCTCTCAGGGCTATGGAAGTTAAGGCGCTGGATTTGTTCTTCACCATCTTATCTTTCCAGGGACTGTAGAAGCAAACATTATTTGACATAATTACGAGGATGCGCAAAGTACAATGTTTTTCAAGCAAATCTTACTGTCCGTTCCACAAAGACATCATTGGCAAAAATGAGGCAATGCATATCAAATTCCACCAAGTTTCCTAGTCTGCAAGTTCAAGGACTTTAAACTTCAGAATCAATTATGCCTAGTTAACATGTCACTGTTTTGGAAAATATATTGGCACTATGATATAATTGTAGTAAACTCCATTTCAAGATCTTACAATCATATTTATCAAATAATGGGACTGTCATGTTTGCATACTCGACACTGAGCTTGAGAGCTGCCTTGATCTTGTTCCCATCCATGGTGACCTTAATCTTGCACTGAGCCAGAGTGCCATCTCCGGCTCCAACCAGGAAATCAAAGTTTTCGACCCCATCATCAACTTTGACAAAGGAAAGGGCAGTGACACCCTGGCTGAACTTGTTTTTCTCTGGCACAAGGAACTGCAGACGGACGGTGTTCATGTTGATGGCGAGGATGTCGCCAGTTGTCGTGCCGCAGAAGAAGAAGTTCATGTTGCCCTTGTTTATCATCTAATGAGGAAATCAGAAATATGTGTCAAAATTGATATCCACTTTGTATGTGAGAAATTTAATCATGATGATATTCCAGAATTAATAAAGTTCTAAATTTGTGCATGAAGGTTGAATAGAATAAGGAAGGGAGGATGACACTAATTTTTAAACTTATCCTATCTAACGACTTGTACCTCTCCCTCTTGCTTCGACTTTTAGTGGAACGACTGTAAACTTATTCCATAGGCCTCCTTGTCCATTCGCCCATGCACTCCATGCTGCTCTCCTTAATTAGCTTCCTAGTTCCTAAAGAAGCTTGCAGCATGTTCCACTAATTGCCCACGTGACTACCTTGAATGATCATTCTCTTTCTTGTTGCACAACTGTGTGGAGGTGCTGTATATTAGGGACATTATTTCACCCTAACATCATGGGGAAAACAGATAATCAGTCAAGGAAAAGGAAAGTTTGTGCTCAATGCAAGACGAATTATTCGTCCATTGACCCTCACTATTCTTGCAGTGACTGTATTGGACAATTTAACTGGAACAAACGATGTGGCAAGTGTAATTCACTAAAAGATGAGGATTTTAAGGCCTACCTTCATGTTTGCTCCCGGAGAATCGCCGATAGGGACAGGAAATCAACAGAATCTGATCCCACTCCCGCCAAGCGTATCAAGTTGCAGTGACAGAAAATCGTACCTTCACACAAGAGAGCGACGTCTGTGGTTCAAGAGGACTTTATGGATGCTTCATCAGATTCTTACTTATCTGAGGACGTTCGGCACCTATTACGTGCGCATCAATCACCTCCTTCATAGCGTCAGATCACTCACGGGTGGTTGTGATCGATAATCCATCATTGTCTGTCCCATCTACACTACCAGGGGACCTTAGATCGACACTATCATCTTCCAGATCATCGGTACATATCCCCTCGACTGTCTCAGTTTGTTTGGATCCTGGCCAACCGCGTTCAACCAGCCAACAGTTCCTCTGACCGACGTTTCGGTGATCATTGCTCTGATACCACTAATAGGCCTATAGTCTCTTACAGTGTTCCGCCTACACAATCTGAGAATCCTTCGACTCACTCTAGGATCATCGCTGAGTCATGGGAACCTTATCACAATCCCACTCCTACAGCGACTCCGATGATCAGGGCCATAACCTCAGCCTTCTACTCCAGCCCATCCGGCTTCGGTAGCACCTGGCTCTTCATCTGGTCCACCTCCTGAGATTGATCCAGTCCAAATAGTCATGCCTGCATCTCCCGCTCACTCTCAGTTATCTACCCCTAGGGGTAGCTTTGCAGCAGCTGGGACAGCTCAGGTACTTGTTTGGATTGTTGAGAAGCTCCAACTTCCCTTGAGTACTTTAGCAGATGACCTGGATCACTCTTATACTCTTAGGAACTGGGATTGGTCTACCATCACCCTACCACCTCAACCTTGTATTCTGAAATTATCCAGTACACTAAATAATGGTTTCAAGAGCCTGAAACAAATTAAGGACGGATTCTCTGCTCCCAGATATAATCATTCTACCTCTCATGTCCACGGCCTAACAAAGGTCTCAACAGTTGATGAGGACATTGGAACCCTGTGTGGCAAACGAGCTGCTTCGCCCTACCTTATTGAGGACCGAGAGTTGGCTCACATGGATTCAGCTGTGAGAAAGATGTTGCCATCTATTTATTGCATGATTGCAGCAGTCGACACGCTGTCAACTCTGTTCTGGAGCATACTTACACTGATCAAGACGCTCACATCCGAGGATGCATGACTTTAGCTCTGGACCAGTACCAAATTATCCTGGATCATTTTTTGGGCTACACTCTTGCTGTTCGCCGACGTGGACCCCTTAACATCTCTTCATGGGAGGAGCGATTTAGAACAGAACTGTTTCGCCAGCCATGGCTTACTGACTCCCTCTTCAATGACAGCATCCAAGAAGTATCTACTAAAGTTCATGAAGAAACCCACTTTCAAGTCTCGATTGAACTGTTAAAGATACAGAAGTCATAGCTCCATGACTCATTAATACAGCGTTGAACTGGACAGTTCACCCATACCAATCCAGATTTACGCAATCTTTTTCATGGCGCTTTCCACTCAAGGCCATGGCAGAGGAAATAGATCTGGCCGTGGTGGTTTCTCCCGTCGCCCCCTCAGGACCATCTCTGGCCCAGGGACCAGCGCCGGGAAGCAGTGATGGCTTGAGACAATCGCACGACTGGGAACAACACTCCGGTGGGCGGGAGATTATAGATCTTCGCCCTGAATTGGACCATCCTCAGAGATCCGTACGTCACCAACCTGCTACTTCACAGCTACCAACTACCCTTTATTGGCGGTCCACCTCTGACATCGCATCCGGCTCATCGCTCATATCCTGTTGACCAGCTTCAGACTCTGCATATCCACAATAGGTACATTATTAGACAAACTCACGATAGAGCTCCTAGGTCCATCGCCTGTCACTCCAGGATTCTACTCCCCATCTTCTTGGTTCCAAAGAAAAATTCCAACAAACTCAGGCTCATCTTCAATATGAAGTTGTTCAATGCTCGAATCCTGCTTCCACGCCTCACTTCAGGATTGTGTCGTTCAACCTTTTACGCACCATCCTGAAGAAGGGAGACTTCCTCATCAGCAGAACAGAACTGTTTCTAGCCAGCCATGGCTTACTGACTCCCTCTTCAATGACAGCATCCAAGAAGTATCTACTAAAGTTCATGAAGAAACCCACTTTCAAGTCTCGATTGAACTGTTAAAGATACAGAAGTCATAGCTCCATGACTCATTAATACAGCGTTGAACTGGACAGTTCACCCCTACAATCCAGTTTTACGCAATCTTTTTCCTGGCGCTTCCACTCAAGGCCATGGTAGAGGAAATAGATCTGGCCGTGGTGGTTTCTCCCGTCGCCCCCTCAGGACCATCTCTGGCCCAGGGACCAGCGCCGGGAAGCAGTGATGGCTTGAGACAATCGCACGACTGGGAACAACATTCCGGTGGGCGGGAGATTATAGATCTTCGCCCTGAATTGGACCATCCTCAGAGATCCGTACGTCACAAACCTGCTACTTCACAGCTACCAACTACCCTTTATTGGCAGTCCACCTCTGACATCGCATCCGGTTCATCGCTCATATCCTGTGGACCAGCTTCAGACTCTGCATATCCACAATAGGTACATTATTAGACAAACTCGCGATAGAGCTCCTAGGTCCATCGCCTGTCACTCCAGGATTCTACTCCCCCATCTTCTTGGTTCCAAAGAAAAATTCCAACAAACTCAGGCTCATCTTCAATATGAAGTTGTTCAATGCTCGAATCCTGCTTCCACCGCCTCACTTCAGGATTGTGTCGTTCAACCTTTTACGCACCATCCTGAAGAAGGGAGACTTCCTCATCAGCCTAGATCTTCAGGATGCTTATCTTCATGTTCCGGAACACCGGAAGTTCCTTTGCTTTGTGTTCAACAGGAATCACTACCATTTGGAATTTCCACGGCCCTGTGGCTTTTTACCCGAATTACCAAGCCCATCACGAGCTTCCTCCACTTTCAAGGGATCACCTTCGAAAGCTACATAGACGATTGCATCCAGGCAGTTAGTGTGGCTGTTGAACATCGCGAAATCGGAACTAATACCGACTCAGAGACTCCAATTCATCGGAGCACTGTTTGACACTCGTCAGGGGATGATGTTCATCCCTCACGACAGGTGGATAAAGATTCAGCAATGCATTCCTCCAGCGCTGTCTCCAACCTTTACGGCAGTGGCAGGAGCTACTGGGCCTTGTGACGTCAGCTCAAGCCTTAAAGTACAGAGGCCGGCTCCAACTTCAGCCGATACAGCGATTTCTACGCCCGTATCTTCAGGCCGACAACCCCAAGGAATTGATTTTCCTTCCAGAACCGTTCGTCCAGTCCTTCAGAGTCTTTATGATGCCCTTTGCACTGACTCATCACCTATTCGTCGATGCATCTCTCATGGGTTGGGGAGCTCACTTCCTCGACCACCAAGTGGCCAGGCTGTGGTCATCCGACGAACTGGTACTTATATAAACGAAGCTGGAATTCAAGGCGGTAATTCAAGCCATCTCACATTGAGCAACAGAGCTTCAATCAACCAGTCTGTTGATACAATCAGACAATTCGACAGTGGTTTGGTATATAAATCATCTAGGCTTGACAGGCTCGGCGAATCTGCTACAATGGGCGATCAGGTTCTTCCATCTCATCGACTCCCGGGGTAAAAAATGTGATCACCGATGCCTTGTCCCGATCCAACCGACCGTCCCGGACAGAGTGGAAGTTACTGCCCCAGATCTTTCAGTCGATGATCTACCCGTTATCACGGCCGCTAATAGATCTGTTCGCCACAAGGTTCAACAACCAACTTCCAAAGTTTGTATCACCAATCCCAGACCCATGGCTTGGGACCTATACGCGCTGGCAATATCATGGGAGGGTCTCAATGCCTACGCGTTCCCCTCTCCAGCTCTGCTACCAAAAGTAATACAGAAACTATTGGCCACCAGCAACATACTACTGCTTTTGGTCGCACCCTTCTGGCCAGCGAGAAGTTATTTGTCAACCTAAGAAGCCTGGCAGAGCCAAATCCAGAACCGCTTCCCAACCGGGACGACCTACTTCTTCACCCTCTCGGAACTGTGCCATGGGTCACCTTAGATCCTCAATCTACACGTTTGGCGCATCTTCAGAGATCACCACGGGCACGAAAATTTCCACTGTTCCTGAGTTGCAGAGTCTACTACGCTCCTATAGACTCTCTGACCAGTCCAGGAAGTTCAGACCTCCGGCCTGGGATCTTTAGAAGACAAGGACTTCGAACAAGTGACATTCAAGACATTCTTCCTGGTAGCTTTGGCTACCGCTGCTCGTATATCTGAACTGCATGCTCTTGATGTCAATCGGGTGTGGTTCAAACGGAAGAAGGATGGCAAGGCTTTCTTGGGTCTCCGCTGGGACTTCATTGCGGAAAACCAACTGCCAGGGCAACCGGACCGGATGTTTACCATTCCGTTGTCCACCATTCTTGGCCTGATGATAATTAAGATTTGACACCCTGCCCTGTTAGGGCTCTACACGTTTACCTTGCTGCCTCCAAGGATCGTCGACGGCTACGGAAGCGCCTCTTCATACCCATGTCGACTGCTTCAAGAACTGAGGTTTCCCGGACCACCTTTGCAGGGTTGCCTCCTCCAGCCGCTTCCAATCCTCATGAGACTCGTGCACTAGCCTCGACAATGGCCCTCCATAGCAACTGCTCCTTGACCGCTATGATGGAAGGTTGCTTCTGGCGTTCTGATACAGTCTTCTCTTCACACTACCTGCGAGACCTGTCTGTCACGGATGTCCAGGGACCAGTCCGGACCTCTTGTACTGGCTCAGCAGCTTACATCGGCCCAACAACGCAGATGAGGGACAGTTCCGCGTTCGCGTTACTGTTTCCTTGTATATACAGAATAAAAGTTGAACTGGATCTCAACCTTTTGTTCTCATTATATGGGTTTAAGAACTACTTCACTTGGCCTCCATACCAAGGCATCGGAATACGGCCACCTAGCGTGGCCCTACGGACCTGAGGCACAATCAGTATGACGATGCAGAGGTGTTCGACATTCACGCTTACTGACCTCTTCCCACGGAGCAATTACGACAGTGAAGTGTGACACTCCGGAATTCCAGTGGATTTCGTTGCGTTCTGCCTCCGAAGTTGCCGGAACATCCTTTGTCTACGCTTAGGCAAAGGAGTGAGGGTCAATTTGATGCTGCCCGAAATGGAACGTTAAACCTTGGAGATGCCGAGTTGTGTTTCTCTTTCACCCACCTAGGTCGGTGTCTGGGGGGGCCTTCTCGAAGCAGGGGCTGGCCCGATTCTAGTCGCAAGACTTTAATTACGGGAGTACCTTGTAAATCGTGGCGAGGCAAGGCTTGTACAAGGTTGCGACCGAACACCACATCGCTCAGGAGCACCCATCTCCCTTGCAGTCGTTGTGCTTAGTAAGCCAAGGGGTTCCGGAGAACCCACTACAAGCATAAGGAGTTGCGTGCAGGCATAACAGGCCTCCCTTGTACATCGCTTTCTATGGTTGTCATCAGTCCACACAGCTCCAAGACCAGCAGTTCGCACTGTCCAGACAGAAGGGTAATCTGCGGCCCGCCGTCCAAGCGTGGGATAAGTGCAAGTCGTGAGATAGGATAAGTTCAAAAATTTGAAAATTTAAATATAAATTGTATATTTATATACTTATCCTATCTCACGCGATGGATGCCCGCCCGGACTCCCCACTACTCAGATTACGTTGGCTCCAAGATGAGAATGATCATACAAGGTAGTCACGTGGGCAATTAGTGGAGTATGCTACAAGGTTCATTAGGAACTAGGAAGCTAATTAAGGAGAGCAGCATGGAGTGCACAGGCGAATGGACAAGGAGGCCTATGGAAAAGTTTACAGTCGTTCCACTAAAAGTCGAAGCGAGAGAGAGAGGTGCAAGTCTTGAGATAGGATAAGTATATAAATATACAATTTATATTAAAATTTTCAATATTGTGTGATCGACCCATTTGTAAGCCATAATATCTAGATGGCACATGTAGTTGCTTGTGCTATGAACCAGTTTTGGGTATTCTTCCAGACACAGGTATTGACAAGTCACTAACTCTAATGGTCTTAGTTACATCAAACAAAATTTGTTCACAATATTAACTTGTGCTATAACAAAGACCTACCGTAGTGACGAGAATTCTGTCATCCTACAAATACTTTCCATTCTCACTGTCCTGTGGCCATTTGATTCCCTTTTTAACCACCAACTTGAAGTAACAATATGACACTCAAATCACGTCAAATAATACATCTTTTATAAGCAGCTTCCAAACCATAATCCCAATTGAGTGAACTTATACACTCTGTAAGCATGAAAGTAAACCCACCTGTATACATGTGACAGTTCTTTTGAGAACTCCCAAGTTCACGTCAGTTGGTCGTATTTTTCTGTTTTGTACATCAAGCTGCCATACTCTCAGTGTATTTCTGTAAAGTTAGAACTTCACTAATAAACACTTTAATCACTTTTAAAACTTAGTTTTAGTCATTGATGTAAATTCTTTAGAGGATGTTTATCAGGAGTTTTATTTGAGAAAGCCAGTTTACGCCTTTGGTTTGTAATAACATGAAAATCATTCACAATCATGCCCTTGTGTCAATGTTGATTATATGTCTATTGTGTCAGCATAGAATTACAGATGCCTCAGTTACAAAGATACCTTGAAATTGTATTGAACTGATACTTTGGCAATAGATGTAAGTCAACGATAGACATTGCTTTACCTTGTATGTCTTTATTTTTTAAAGTAATCACAAAACGATTTCTCATCACTGACATTGAGACTAAACATCCTTGAGCAAATGAGTGAGTGAAATAAGTTTTATGCCACTTTTAGCAATATTCCAGAAATATCACGGCTGGGGACAGCAGAACTGTTCTTGAGAAAGAAAATGAGAGGAGGTACTTACTCTCCTCCAGTGTCGAAGACATCATCTGACACATCGGAAGCGCAAACACAGTATGTGTTGCCGGCACTTTCCACCTGAGCTGGGGATCCACAGATTGCCTCGCCTCTCTCAACATCCCAAACGACAACCCTGAAATATAGCCAACACATCTATTGTAGTGACACTGCAAGCTTACAGTTGGACTGATAAAGAATATTTTGCTCTTTCAGAATCTTCAACTTTACTGACGTTTCATAAACGATCAAAATTATACCCTAGATTAATAAAAAATTGGAACAGTAATTTTATTATCAACACGTAATATCCATAATTCTAACTTGGCTATAATCTTTGCAACACAACTTTGCCTGTCCCCACAAAAAAGAATAAATGATCCTGACTAATTTAGTTTTGTGAAAAATCACCTGTTGCATAATTAAAAACATTTGTATTTAAAGATCATTTACAAAAATACTTGTTGTTCATTTTATGGTGACTTACGATCCATCATCTTGTCCTCCAAGTGAGATTAGATAGGTTTCATTCTTGGAAAAGGCAAGTGCCTCAACCTTGACCTTGTGTAGGGTGATCTCATGAATTGGCTGCTTTGTCTCATAGTCCCAGATGATGATCACAGCCTGGAAGATAAAATTTCATACCAATGGTCAGATGGGTTTTCATAGCAAATTACAAAGCACAGAAACTCTTGACTGCCTCTCCAAGATTCCTGAGGATCGTGATGTCCCTCTTCAGTGAACACTCACTTGCGTATCTTTTACATAATCTTGTGTGTATATTCACAGATATTAACCTACTCTAAATTTGTGTTTTGTTTCAAAAAGGGAAATAAGTATGTTTTTCAAGTGTACACTTCTCCTTTAATGAATATAATTAACCAGGTACTGATAGCTTACATGTTTAAAAAATACAGTTCTCTCTAACCCCATTCTAAGATGCTTCGGTGAAGATCAAAGGCGTTGATTGTACTGTATCAGACGATAATGTACACTTTTTGCATAACGTCACAATGCATTGGTGTCACTGCGCCATTCTAGTCTGCCCACCTCGTAATCAAATGTATCCATGGTAACCGACGCATGATGTATGTCAGTCGTCACAATGACTCGTACAGCCTCTTACGGTACTCTAATCCAATGCTTATGATTTACCTTGAAGCCCATGTGTGTTACTTGTCCTGAGGCCAGATAGCGTCCCGAGGGTGAAATGGCCAGGCAAGACACATAGTTTGTGTGTTTGGACAGGATAGTCTGGGTGCCATAACCTTCTTTTGCTATCTCCTCAATGATGATGTTGCAGCCAAGTGGGTAAATGAGATGTTGACGATCTGGGTGAACTTTGAGTCCATTTGTTACAGCCCCTGCATAATGATGACGTGTTATTTTATGACATAATACAATGGTTTAAACTGGATGATTTCATAAGTAAATGTCACGCTTAATTACCAACGTTTATGTGAAATATGTATCTGTTCAAACATAGCTCTGATTTCACTGATGAGTTTGTTGTAAGCCATCATGGAACTTTCATTCCAGAGTACGTTTGGGAGATGTCAGTGTTTAAAATAAAATGCTCTGATCAGAGGCCCAGATAAGCTGTGTATCCGGGTAAAATATGCATAGAAAATTTCCAATTACGCATTGAAAAATAATTGTTGCGTACCAATTACGCATTTAAAATGTTAGATACGCAAAAGGTTTAAAACAAATGCGTACGGAATATATTTATAAAAATCGCTTGCGTAATGAAAAAGACATAGATTGCTATCAAGTTGTACTGTTAGTATAGGACTAGTGTTGTACTGTCAGTATTAGGATGAGGGATTTTTTATGAAATCATTTCCATTATACTTAAGTTGGTTCTGATTTGGTATGACATAAGGCAGAACATACCTGCTGAGTAAACTTACTCAATGACGTAATACTTAGGTGAGTAAAATGACTGAAATACGCACATATTTGAAAGCTTTGGGTAACGGAAAATGAAATACCCACTAAACATTCATAATACCCACTCCAAAAAAATACAGTGGGTACAGTACCAACATGAGCTAAATCTTATCTGGAGCTCTGTTTGATATTTAATTTGAGTTCTAATTATTTAAAACTATGCAAACAAAGAGTACTTTTGCTTGTTTTAGGCTTCATCACCACATTATTAGTGATGCTGTAATAGCCATATTAGATGTATCAAACTAACATTGGCAGACAGAATCCAGTAAAATGCATGTGGACCAACTTTTGTAATCTTCAGCATAATTACATAGGGCCTAAAATAAAATGTTGTGGTTCCAATTACCCGACCGACCCTTGAATTCTGGTGCCGACCCTAGTTTTTTTTAGAGGTATGAATAAAAAAGGCTTTCAGATACCATCCTTTTTTCCTGGCACCAACGGACATTGGTCATTCTGATAAAGAAAGTCGACATGATGGCCGCAAGCTTGATTGAATAAACAATTACACATTGATAAATGTGTTATTATAGTTCGTACTTTATACTTCTTAAAAAAAAATGTAAAAAAAAAAAAGAATTCCTACCTACCTACCCTAAATTTTAAAGGTGTAATCGGAACCACGACATTTTTTTTGTTTGAATATCTGTGCATACGAACTTGGACAATGTTGACAACGGGTTAGCCATTTTCTGACACTGACAACGGGTTAGGAATTTCTTCGGGTACGAATGTCCGTGCGCGCTAACTGTTTAGTGTCGCGCTTAAATTATTCTGTTTTTACGAAACAGCAGTGATCAGCATCAATAATGAATATTATGCCTTAAATTATTCTTATCGGTCAAATCAAAATCTGAATCATATTTACGAAACAGCATATTATATCACATCATAGGTAACAACCATCGATGTAGTTGGTGATGCCAAAGGAACTACAACACGGTATGATTTGCTTGGAAAGACACTGACAACGCAAAGAAAGATTGAAACAGAACATTCCAAACAAACTAAAATGTTTATCCAATGTTCTACTACACTCACCGTTGAAACCGATTATTCTTTCCAGCTGCATAGTGTCTAAAAATTCTGTGTTTGCCATGTTTGGAAGTTACACGCTCCTCTTCCCTGTGCGGAGGCAGAAATAACACTCTTTACCTCGTGTCTCACAACAAACTGCTTTCTACAGTGGCTGTTGTTGTCATTAGCAACCAAAATGGCGATGTCAACGCGCCCTCTGTATCCAAGTCTTTCAAGGGTAGATAACTCTAACAACCGAACGTTTGTTTTTCCACACCGTTGCATCACGAAACGTACCATGTGATGGTGGTTTGATCTGTTTTTTGTTTTGAGATTAAACCCTGGTATACCCTGAGGCACTGGTCACTGTAACCACACGACACACAGAGGTACTTAAACTTTTGTTCAGTTACAGTATCCGAAAGGCGATGAAATCATCGACCATTCGTCGACTGGTCACAGCCGTTCAGGATAATTCTCATATTCACGAGAATCCAAAATTCTAAAAAATACGTCTTTCGACACAGTTAAAATATACCGAAGATGTTTATGATTCGTGAATTAGCATGATTAGTGGCATTGCTGTAGAAACTAATATGGGTGCTGAATAATCTTAAACTTTCTAGCCTCCAAATTTTATTTAAAAGGTCCCAAATGTTTAGTATTTTTCATAGAATATACTTTTAATGCCCATCTATTACATTTTTATTTGATACTCAATGGTTGTTGTTAAAGGGAATTAGACATTCTGTTCTATTCATGCAACTGCTCCCTACATTAAGATAAATGTTACCGAAAAACAATGAGGGTTAACGTTCAAGTTAATTGAACATCTTCTCTTTATTATTTCAGTTAAGTTTGCGATTGTTGGAAACCACATGTTTAGTATAAGTACATCTACATCAAGCTGACTAGTCATGTGACATTTCACTGATGCATTGTGGGGCAGTGGACATAAGCCTGGGTAGTGAACATTGCTGTTCAATTGTGAGTCAAGCTAAGGTATATTTTCCATAGAAAAAGTTAAACATAATGTTTCCACAAGTGATGTTTGCCAACTGAAGCGACTGCAAACCAAGAAACATGGTGGTAACCAATAGGAAAAAATGGAATCGAGTACCCGCATGTACTTACCCGAATCGGAATCGAGTACCCGGAAATGTAAGGAATAGAGCGCTTCTGTCAACTTTCTGAATATTCTCTCACAAGGGGATGGAGATTTTTATGCAAACCTTGAAAGGATGGCATTAAGACACTGAAACTGAATGTAGGCTATTTAATTTACGTCTATTTAACAAATATAGAGAGTAACACCAGTACATGCATTCCTCGTTAAAACACAGGACTTTTCGTTACCGCTGTTACTTTAACTTGACTCTCACTGCTCATGCTCAGATATATACAGTCATTATTAATGACCTCCATTAATCGGACAATACCAATGATGCAAATGTGTGTTACATCAATAATGAAAAAGACAAGTTTTTATGTGCCCTTGCCATTACAGTGTTCTCTCCTTTTCCGGGTACTCGATTCCTAAAATTAGTACTCGATTCCAGCAGTACCCAACCCGGATTCGAGTACCCGATTACCCGTCCCAGCCCTAGGAACCAAGATTCTGCAGATTAGATTGGTATTGTGATGCCAATTCAGTGTGACGTAATGCAAAAAGTGAACTCCTTGCCTGATACAGTACTTTCTGTGCCATGATCTTCTAGTGAACCATCTTAGCAAACCTGATGTGATATGTTTACATGGACATTTTTCTATGTGAATTTGATGATAAATAAGACTCAGTCATTTCAAGAAATGCTTACACAGTCCCATATAGAAAGTGGTCAAATGTAACATATGTTATATTTGGGATAACACTTTCTTAGTAAAGTACAGATTCTAGTACTTTTGTTGGGTTGAGTCCCATCCGATAACCGGTAGGTGCCTCACTCTGAGGGTGTGGGTTTGAACCCCGGGTGGGACTCAACCCAACAAATGTACTATAATCTTCTAAGAACGTGTAATCCCAAATATAACATTTGTTACAGTTCAAGAAAGTTGGTTCAAAGGTTGGGGGCTTGTTTGTAAATATATGTTTATTGTGTTTCATACACATATGAAGACAGTAGTCTCATTTATCATGTTTATTTCATGAAATATTTCAAGTGGCAACATACACTGATCATCTTTGTTTTATGACAGTACAGTTTATTGGTAGTACTTGATGTCAATGCAGGGCTCCAGATAAGGGTCGTATCGGGGTATGTACGGATAAAAAATATGCAAGATACGATAGGAAATAGTTTAGAAAGCGTAACAGATACGCACCACAGCAATGGTGTGCGGTCTTATAATCATTTACAGACATATTTATCTGAAAAAGTATTGTTTTATTGTTTATTGACCTGTTTACACAAGAGTAGCAGTGTTGTGGTGCATATATGAAACGAAACACAAGATTACTGATACGCCATTAATTTCCATTCAGTACTCTAAATGTACTCTCAAGGTTTTCCAGTACTACTATATTGAAAAAATAAGGAGTACGTACTCCTGATCATGAAAAATTATCTGGAGCCCTGTCAATGGTTCCAATCCTAATTTTAATCTGATTATCATTTAAAGGATTATAATTAATGTCAGAAGCTAGTTAACTGCATCATTAGATCCCTTCATCAGTCCATAATCATGTTAATACAGTGACTTAACAAGCATCAGACTGTGGGACTAATTAGCTTTGATATTATCAAACAGATTAATCGAGTTACAAGCTTTTAAATTAAGGGGGATTTATTGTAGAAAGCCAGTATGGTGATCTGCCTTCAGTTGTTGGCGACCTATAGCCTGTTTTTATATTGTATTGTCCCAATAGTGCTATCAGTTTTAACTTTCCACACTAGTTTTAGTTATAACTGTGATATTCTAGTTGTTTTACTGTCCTTCATCAACAGGTTTTATAATATATTCCATTTCAATGTCAATTATGTTCTTGTCACGACATTGCTGAAATATTGCCGATGTGACATTAAATATTAACTCACTCACTCACTATTGTAGAAAGTCATGAAATTTCATTAAAGTATGCTCAAAGTAGTTTTCTCAAAAAGATTTGATTGAGCTTGAGAAAGTATAAAATTAGCCTTTGATATATTATGTTTGCAAGAAAATAAATTCTCTTGTACAAATTTAGCATGGTGTATCAGTAAATAATCTCTTACTGAAAAGCTGTCAGTACTGTACAGGGCCTAGATTTTCGAAGCTCTCTAAGCGCTAAGATAGTCGTAAGTTAATGTTAATGTATGGCATTTACGACTATCTTAGGGACCGTTCATAATTTATGACTAAGGTGGGGTGGTATGATGATTTTTAGGGGGTCACCCATTTTGTTCTGGGGATGTAGGGGGTCAGCAATTTTGTATTTGTACACATGCACTGGGGAGAGCAACTTTGTACATAAACATATTTAGAAATTATGCTTAAAACTTATGGAGGGGAGGGGGTCATTGATATTGTACATGACATGCAGGGGGTCACTTACACACACACACACACACACACACACACCATAAACACATGACACGGTCCCTTTATGAACGCCCTAACTAAGGGAGCTTCCAAAATCTAGGCCCAGGGATATATCTCGAGTCCTGTATTTGAGGGTCCCTGGGACTCATACTCTTAATTTTCAGGGGTACTGGACAACAAAATTGGGTCCGAGACACTTAAATATTATTATGAATAATGTTATTGTATTGTATATCATGATCATGACATTAATTGTTACAGTAATTAAATTGCAATTGAAACCAGAACCCAGCTAGTAGCAAACTCAGTGATGACTTATTGTTACTCGATTGGAATTTTTACAAAAAGTATTTGGACTTTTTCTGCTTCCCTATAGATGGGTTAATAAATTTTGTTGCGTCCATTGTCAATTTTTATGCTTATAGGATGCAGGAATTCACGTCTCCTAAATCCTTGAGAGTGCAAAGCATTGTACTTCCACTATAGTTTAGGTATTCTGTACACAGCTACTGAGGCAAGTCAGTGTTTGGAAAGATATTCTGCTATTTAGGACTACAGTGCAAGGAAACTGGAATTTTACAAAGTTGTTAAGGGAAATAGTCAAACAAAGTTTTGATTTTGATCAAAAGGTTATTTTTCAAATAAATTCCAATTTCGAGAATGATGTGAATATATCGTTATTATGTTTGTTACCATGATAGTGAATGATAATCATTATCCCTTACTAATCATTCATTTGTAAAATATAAGAGAACGTATGTATTAAACATGATAAATGATTTTCTTTGTCAGTCAACTTACAGCTATATTTTCCTCAGGGTCTGAAACAAATTCACAAGTTATCATGACAAAACCAGAAGGATTTGAATTTTGGAGGACTAAGCTAAAATCAGCTCGTCTTGTGGTGGCGCCAATGGTTGACCAAAGTGAACTAGCTTGGAGAATGCTGAGTCGAAGATATGGAGCAGAGCTGTGTTTCACCCCCATGTTTCACGCCAATTTGTTTGCACGAGACCCAACTTACAGGAGGGACTGTTTGCAGACATGTGAGAGTGACAGGCCACTTATTGTGCAGGTAATTACTGTTACATGTTTTACCATGTGGATTCCATGTTTCAATTGGAATCATGGGTTAGCTTAGGAGGTTTACATATCTATGTGTGAAAAAACAATAATGACAGTGTTGACACATTGACAGCCCCCCTGCCCCCCTCTCAAGCAGACATGAATGTTGGGAATAGTGACAATTTGAGTAGAGGAATTTCCTATCTGCTCACCTGTATCAGCCTGAAGTTAACAGGCCTAAAGTACTGTTGGCAATAGAAAAAAACTTATTTCACATTTACATCTACAATTCATGTAGATAATATGTGAAAGTGTGAAATATTTGTTAAACTAAGTTTGGCCTAACTATAGTCTCAGTGGTAGGGAAATAGAAAACGTAAATATTGGACTTTACTCAGGAGAAATTAGTGCAGAAATGAGCAATGCGGGTTTTTTCTAAGTCCAAATCGACTTATTTGGAACAGACCATGGCTTTATACAAATAGAGGGTGATGATATTGTAGTACAAAGGACACTTTTTAAATACCCATTTTGAAATAAGATTTAGCTTCATTATAAACGATAGCTGACGAAAAAATAACAACTTTAACTGTGAAACTGTTAAGGATATAGCTACCATGGTGTCTCACTATCACTATAAAAAGAAACAGGTAGGAGGGGTCGTCTCAAAAGCAAAACAAGGACGGGTGTCGCAGACGGTGGTTTGGGGTCGGGCTGGGGTATAGAGATATCAGCTAAGATAAGATGATCCTTCAGGGGAATTAAACTGGCGAAGTAAACGGTATGACGTAACAATTTACAAATAATATCCAGTACTTTCGGTCTCAGGGTGGTCATGCCACCTATATAAACTCATGGGCCAAAGAAAGTATAGGACTGAGAGTGATGACGTCACAAATGTGGAAAGCATGTTCCATGCTCCTAGCACATAATGCACGTGTGCAAAGTATCGGTAAAAATGCGATGCATCGGTCCCGTCATAGCACAGCTGCTGAAAACACATGAAAAGTATGCCACGACTGACGTCAGAACAGAGAGAGAGGGCCGTAGGGATGTCCGATATGGGAGCGACGAACGTCAGAATTGCAAGAAGAGTTAGTTGTACGCCACTGACGATACCAAGACTCCTCCAAAGATTCAGACAGACAGGTCGAACAGCGCACGTGAATTCACCATATACGCCTGATACACCTCCGAAATCGTTTTGTTACGGCAACGTCAACGACCGAAACAGCGTTGGGACATCGCATCAGTCGAAGGACTGTCCTCAGACGTTTGAGAGCAGGTGGAATACGTTGCTATCGACCATTCCATGGAATGAGACTAACTCAACAACATCGACTTGAAAGACTGCAATGGGCAAGACGGTATACCGCTGGCAAGTGCGTGATTGGCGTAGGGTCCTCCTCACCGATGAAAGTCGGTTTTGTCTGCACAAATATGACAGCCGACAGAGAGTTTACAGGCGATGGTGTGAACGTTTTGCAGCAGCATGCATTCAAGAAGTCCATGCCTATGGTGGCGGTGGTGTGATGATATGGGGTGGCATTATTGGCGACCAAACGACACCCTTGGTAGTTATTCAGGGGAATCTCAATGCTAATGAGTACCGAAATCAAGTCTTGCAGCCTGTTGTCTTACCTTTCTTGAACAATCAACCAAATGGTATATTGTTTCAGCAAGACAATGCAACTCCCCATACAGCAATAGCGACGACAAACTGTCTTAATCAGAATAACGTTAATGTTCTACCCTGGCCTTCTCGATCACCACATATGAATCTGATCGAGCATTTGTGGGATCATTTGGGAAGACAAATTTGTGGTCGTCATCGACCTCCACAGACAAGACAAGAGTTGGAAGCGGCACTGAGGGACGAATGGCAGCGACTGCCAAATAACGTCATCCGACGCTTGACGTCGTCGATGCGACGACGTGCACGAGCGTGCATTGAGGCTGCTGGCGGACACACACGCTACTGACGTTGTGATAGTTCTGGAACAAACTTTTCTGTCTTTTGTGTGCTCAATTCGTCAAAAGAATATCATTGTAACTTTGATATTTACCCCCTGACTGTTTGAATGTCAATGGTTTTTTTTACGTTCATTCAACCAGGTAATGATTTGTACACACAGCAAAGTGCAAATGAATTTGCTACAAATTACATCTATTACATAATCCAAATCTTGTGTTGTTTCTGTTTTACTGATCTTCAAAATGACCTATACTTTCTTTTGCCCATGAGTGTATTTTGAGACATTTAATACGATGACTGATTATGCTTTTGTACGGGTATCATACTCTTTTACATATCTGAGCATAAACTTTATGAAAGAAATACACGTAAGATGTTAATCAAGAGATGCGACATATTCAACACACGAGAAAAGGCATCAAATATCTTTGAGATGACCCCTTGTGCCTGTAGGCAGCATGTGCATTTCATGCCAGGTGAGTCGATGGTCCGTCGTCATACCTGGCTGAGCGACATAATTGCCATCTGTAGTCTGATCTATTGTTTTCAGCAGCTATTCGTATTTTTCCTAAAATAGTAAACATGCTTTTCTGGATATCCTATTACGCATCCCACTGAACACCCAGTTAGGCCAATGTGGGTTATTTCGACATATGCTGTTTGCAATTGTGTAAATTTTAGTGATACAGAGTAACAGCCTAAAAACATTTTTTTTGTATTTCCGATAGTACTTTAGCATTATTTTAGTGTCAATTTTCCACTTCTAAGCCCCCATGCTTTTTAAAAATAGGGTAGGTGGGTCAGTTTTTATCTCTTTTTTTTCACTTTTGTTAATTTTTTAGTAGCACCAGGGGGGCACCTGAGAAGGTCTTCAAGAGTACCATATCATGTAGTGATAAAGCCTTGTGAAGAAACATTGAATGATTTCTATATCAAGTCATTATTTATGTTATTTATTTGCAGGTTTTGTCAGTGAGAGCCCATTATGCCAATTCAATGCAATCCATTTTAGCGCTACGTACACTGAAATTGAGTGGAAAACATTGGGGGAAATGGGGGTGGGGTGGGGGTGGGGTTTCAGTCAGTCGGGTTACCAGAAACAGACATATTATTTTTTTTGCCTAATTTCTTTGAGTCACATATTTAGAAGTTGGAGAGTCAGATAAGGACAAACTTTATGGATGATCAACTTGAACAACTTCTTTATTCAGTTGATGCTTCACCTGAAAGAAGTTGTTCATCCATAAAGTTTGATGCTTCATCAGAATAAAGAAGTTGTTCATCCTTAGAGGTTGTCCTTATCTTTCCCCATCTACTTGTACAGAATTATTAAGGATTTTACTGGTAAATTACATTTCTACCAACACCCTGACATAGTTACCTGATTATTCGACTGTATGATGTGAACCATTGAGAAATCCATTGTTCATCATACATTGTTTACTGATCTATTAAAACTTTTGATCATGTTGATTAGTGGAGCGGCTCAACAGATCAATTGTGCATTTAATGATAAAAGCATAAAACTTTGCTTATTTATTGACTAATGCATAGTGATTGTGAACATTTTCATTTATGGAGGCAACCAAAATAATTTCAGTTTGCGCATGCGCAGACGGCTTTGTTTGTTTGTTGTTGATGCTGCACTCAGCAATATTCCTACTTCCTCCTGCTATATGGAAGCAGACAGTAAATAATCAACTCTGGACCAGACAATCAAGTGAGCATCGATCTATGCAGTTGGAATACGATGACATATGTCAACCAAGTCAGCAAGTCTGACCACCCGATCTTTTTGTCTAACCCGAATCTTCATTGGCTTAAAATTTGACATTCAGCCTCCCACACACCTTCGAGTTACACAAACAAGCTTTCACAAATATACCCATGGCAAGCCTACGGTAGAATGTTACCCTTAAAGGTCACATAAACCCTAGGGGGTGCAAATACATAAATCACTAACTGGCATCGTTATAAATGAAACCCCGTCATTAAAACTACTCATTTCGACCTTTAATTGACTTAAATCGACCTTTTTGACAACAGTGCACAATTCTCAACCGCGAACGAAATTTCAACCAATCAGAGCGGCGCGCCTCTGTGACGTCATATGAGGAATAGCTTTGAGGGCCGATGCAGAATTCATCGACATTTTAGGGGTTAAATTATCTTGTTTACAGGCATGTATAAACCTGAAATCGTGACAATTGTTGTGGAAAATGAAAGCTTTATGTTCTCACAATCTACTGTCATTTAATTTAGTCTCCTGCTTTGCCTAGTTTCCGAGTTACAACTTGTTTTGATAGACGATTATGTCAAAATCGATTGGTGTCGTTAGGCCCTATTTGTATAATGACTGATCCAAATTGATCCCATTTCTGTGTTTTTTTTCCTCGATATTTAATCATGTCATGTAAAAATCTGTTTGTATTCTCAAAACAGTGTCGGCCCATAAGTTTTCACATGCAATACAGCAATTAATACTCCCTTGTTGTAACCCGTGTTAGGTGGTATAAACCTACACATGTTATTTGTCATCATTCACTTGATGGTCAGTTAATGAATTTATAACAGGTATAATTAGTGGTAACACACTTAGATTACCCGACAAAGGTTCCCATTTGGCATTTCTTGTGTCTGGAGTAAATATTCAACATTATAAACATCAATCAAAGAATTAACCGATAACACGCTGATTGATTAATTACTTTTATCTTACACAGCGAATTGTCAAAAGGTAGTGTTTATGTATGTAGATTTACTAATCTATACTGAATACACTCTGTCGTATGTCGGTGTCTGCGTAAAAACAACGTCCTTCTTTCAAAGGATTAACCGGCAATACTTTGATTGATTGCCCATTATTGGCTAACTAAATTACTGTTTTTAAAGAAAGGCGGACATTATGCAATTAGTTGCCAGGTGTGTTATCTTGGGTGACCAATGAGACTATACACCAATACCTGAAAAGATTTATCACTTTTTTCAGTATATTAAACTGTTAAAAGACACATCATTTGGAACAGTTTTGTGGA